GATATGTGAGAGAAATATTTTGTAAAATAATTTAATCAATTTAGTGAAATGATGAGAAAGAAATTAAGAAAACAAGATGATAGTTAGACCAACTCTGAAATGGTTTGGATAAAATTTTATTTGTGGACATTTAAAAGGAAAAAATTGATAAAAAAAAGAGAGTTTAAATAGGTGTGATTTGAACCGTTCAAATAAAAGAAAGAAAAAGAGGTGCGATTTGAAGCATTTTTCAAAAAAAAAGAGAGAGTTAGGAAACGGTTTTTATGAGTCCATGTAGAAATGATTCACCACTTAAACATCTAGCTTTCAAATGTATTTTTGGACTTATAAGGACATGTAATCTCTAGCATGGAGATCATGAATATGAATGAATAAATAAAATTAAAAAATTAGAAATAATAATTATATTAAGAAAATGTGTGGTTTCTATAAGGTTGCAACCTTAAACAATCCAATTAAAGCCCACCTCCAAATTTTATCATAACATGTAATTTTGGTTTAAAAAATTCTTAAGAATATCTCAAAATCTATTTCCATATCTAATTATAAAATTTTAAACTAAAAAAATAGTTAAAATCAAGTAGATCTATAAACATATGAATATCGTAAAAATGGATGGCCTAGATAATGTGTTGCAAGATTCACTATTTTTACTATTCAATTTTTTTTTTTTTTCATATTCATGCATCTCGAGGTCAAGATGATCAATTAGAGGGTTTTTCAACATCCTTTTCCAACATATTTTTGAGGTGCATCTTTAACTCTACATTTTAAGGTCGCAATCTTATATAAATTTTTTCCATTAAAAAAACATTCGGACTTTTGGTTTCAAATTTTTTTAGATGGACCACCTATTTGGATCCATATTTAAAATATATGATTTATACCTTGGGACAGCATATTGTAGAAATGTGGTCCAACCCCAACATGAAACAATTCTCGAAAAAGGAAAAATAATTTCCCAGTAAATGATGGACAGTAGACTTGGACCCCTTCTAAGCTGACTTGGGGCGTTGCATCTTTCACTCGACTGACAAGTGAATTATACCGTCAAATCAGTACCGTCAAAAAAGCCAGTTTTCAAATCTCAGCGGTAAACAATGTCCACCCTCAGTTCCACCGTCAAAACCCCAACGTCCCCTCTTTGACGGTGACTGTCGTGCTCTAACACACGTGCGGGGTTGCGGGCTTGCTTCCGGGCTGCCGTCTCCACATGTGCGTGTCAACCATAGCCATGTCAACCATTTCTCATTCGTTTTGGAGTTTTTTTTTCCAAAAACAGAAAAAGCCAAAAAGGCAAAAAATAAACAGGTGTCGCTAAAAATAAGAAATTATTTTATATGCAGGCTGGACCGTATTTCTACATATGCTGTTCCGAGGTATAAAGCATCTATCTTAAAAATAGATTCAAACCGGTGGTCCATCTAAAAACAATTCAAGACAACAATCTAAATGTTTTTTTACTAGAATTATTATTTTTAATTTTTAAAATTTATTTATTTTTTCATATTCGTAATTTTCATATTAGAGATAACACGTCTTTAGTAATTAAGTCCCAAAAATCTGTCACAAAAATAAAATTTTAAAAAGTGCCTTATTTCTATATGGACTCACGAAAACTGCATCCACAAAAAGAAAAAGCTAAGGGATTTTGGGAGAAATGAGGCCAAGTGGAGGCTTTGAGAAGTAACGGGCTAAGGGGCTTTTTTTTTTCTTTTATTTTTTTAAATTAATTTTTAGAAAAAAGAGAATAAAACAATCACGTGGAAAACCCCCTCTCCCTCCTGCACGTCATGATCCGTTTGCTTGGACGCTTTCTCCGTTATTTTGCCACGTCATAGGGGTCCACATTAGCTTATTAGGTTCCACACGTATCCTGCTTACGTGGCATCATCGGCTCGGCTCGCCCTAGCCCAAAAAATTGGCGTCAATTTTGATTTTGAATTAACAAAATAGAATTCAAAAATCGAAATTAAAATATCGGGTGTACGTATTTGTGTGTATGTACAAAGGGAGGGAGGTTATTTTTTTTTTTTGACAAGAAGGGAGGGAGGGTAATTATATTTAGGAAAATTGTTTCACGGGAATCAATTTTCTACATTTGTGCTCCACGAAGTATAAAGCATCCATTTTAAAGATGGATGCAAATAGGTGATCCATCTAAAAATAATTGAAATTAACGGTTTAAAGATGGATGCAAATAGGTGATCCATCTAAAAATAATTGAAATCAACGGTTCAAATATTTTTTTTAATAGAATTTACTATTTTTAATATTAAAAAAGTATTTATTCTTTCATATTCATGATCTTCATGTTAGAGATTACATGTCTTTAAAAATTAGGACAAAAAATCCATGTCAAAAATCAACTTTTAAGAGACCATAGTATCTGTGTCCTTATATTTAGAAAAAACATATAAAGAGACCATTTGCTTTTGATTTAAGGAGGTCACAATCACTCCCGTTCATCAGATTTCAAATTAAGTTTTTGTGAGTGTGTCATCGACTCGACTCAAACTTCAATTTTTTTTGAATTTTGTGACACCACCCAAGCCATCGAATTTGATATCGAAGTATCAATTGTGACGTCCTTATAATAAAAATAAATGGTTTCATAGTACACAAAGTCTTATATTAAAAGAAAAATGAACAAGAACTTCAGTTCATAATATGAGAGGGCATAAATCACTATTAATGACATTTATGATAAAATGGAGTTATATATCATAAGTATCTTCAGATTTCTCACATTTATTGTTATATGAATATGCTCAAGGCATATGTAGTCGTGGTGATGGACATTGCAACCTGACATCTTTGATTCCATTCCTACCATAGATAGCAGACTCTTTGCCCACTAAACTATCAAAAAAAAAAAAAGTTCTCTAGAAAGGTTTTATGAATGATAAACATGTAATATTTTGTTTTCTTCCAAATATCGGTTCTCTTGAAGTTATTATGAGAATTCTGCCTTATAAAACAGGTTTTTATTTTTTTCTAAAATGGCTATTCCTCACAATCGCTCCTTGTGATGCTGCGGAATCATGGAAATTAGGATCTCAAGACTCATAAACACGTATGATGCTGCAAGGAATAAATGACTTACATCACGATCTTTATTTATTTATTGACAAATGTTGTCATATTTTAAATCATGATTTCTTTTTCTTCCTAATATTAGTAGATGGATATTCACCGAAAGCCTATAGAGCTTAGGTAGTTATCTAGTTTCATATAGCCTGCGAGATAAACAGGTATCATAGGTAGTAGACTTACGTTTTATAAAATTAATTCATAAAGTGTTGCTAACCAGGAGTGTTATATTTCACTTCTTTCTAGCTTTTCTTGGCCACCCATACTTATAGCAAATAATCCACGCAAAGTAGTGGAAAACAGTGGGTGGCAAATATAAAACCATGAATTTCTTGCTCAGAGAACAACCCTACTCCATTAAAACCAATATTTATGGACAGTTTAAAAGTCACAGGTAATTTCTTTTCTTTGGAAATAAAACACAAATTTCAAACCTTTCTTTTAGGGAAAGTGTAAACCAATATTTATGGACGGTTTGAAAGTCACAGGTACTTTTTTCTTTGGAAATAAAACACAAATTTCAACCTTTCTTTCAGGGAAAGTGCACACTACACCACTTATGTAGAATGGCTTGTAATGGTAGGGACATCCATTATGAAGATTAAATTTAGTTGTTTATAATGAGTTTTTAGTTTTATAGTTTTGGGGAATGTCTACTGTCAGCCATGGGAAAGGATGGTGGATGTCTCCATGGTGTACCATATGCTATATAGATCATTGGTATATCTGCTTTCCCCTTATTACAAAAGAAAAGGCATGAAGCTAATAAGGGCTTTTTTTTTTTTCTACTCTCATAATTTGAATTATTTAATGACTAACCCATACTTTTTTATCTAATTTCAAATTGCCCGCCATTGTTTTTATCAAATTTCAAGTAGCCCATCAAATGACACATCAAAATGGGTTTTGAAATTTATCAAAATATAGAGAGTAAATGTTCAATACTTCAAATGTTGAGAATATTTTTGATATCTAGATCTTCAAATGTAGCGATGTACAACATGCACATAGCATGTACAGCATCAAATGTTGCATTCATACCTATATGCATGTGTGTGCATATCTGTCTCCAACTTCCTTAAAGGCACCATGGTGGCATAACAAAAAGGATTTCCTCAAAGAACGAGTGAGCCTTTCATGTAACTTACTTTCTTGTAGCTACTAAGACCTAAGAAACAAGATTTCTTCAAAGGGTGAGCATTTCTTGGACTTTATCATGGCCATTAGACAAAATTAGCAGCCCACAAGAAATAGATTCCACATAAATGATTTTCATAGAAATAGAAAAGGGAAATGTACTAATAAAAAAGAAAACCATGATAATCAATGCCTAAAATACTCTTACCATTAGTGAGTAAAACACTCTCCTTGGCTATTTTGGTGTACTCAAAGAATCAAATGACCCAAATTCTTAAGCAGAAAAACCACAAAAAAAAAAAAAGAAAAAAAAAAAAGAAAAAGAAAGAAGATGGGAGGAAAGTCGAAGAAGTTATAAGGAAAATAAAAGAGAAAGAGGTATCAAATTCTATCCATTGCATGTCATTTTATGCTCCAAGCCTCCAGACTTTTTTCACCTTTTCTTTACTTCATGATGTGGTGCAACTACCGTATTATAGAGTTGTAAAATAGTACTATGATATAATTTCTTCCATCTTTTATTAATGAAAAATGGGTAGAGGGTCTTCTCTCCCCACTGATTTGCCCAAAAAAGAATAAAAGAGGAAGAAATGAAGAAAATGGAAAGGGAAAAAAGGCAAATGGTTGCGGCTTGCAATTAAACATTGGCTTTGAGCCCATCAAAGAGGAATAGGAGGTGAGAGAGATTCAAAAGCAAAGCAAAGGCCCCATAGGCCCCCTCCATTTAATGTGGGGCATTTGGGCTTGTATTTATAGGGGAGAGGATTTGAAGGGCTTCCCACAAGCTCTTTGAATCCCCCCCCTTCCAAAGAGCTTCGGCCTTTCCACCCAATAATGGCTGTCATCACAGTTCACCATCCCTTGACCTTTGCATTTGGCCTCTTGGGTACATACTTAAATCGATGATATACCAGTTCTGTTTTTATTAATTCCATTGTTTCTACATTTCATAATTGTATTAAACTTTTTACCATCATACTGTTTTTGCAGGCAACATTATAGGAATCATGGTTTACTTGGCACCATTGTAAGCTCTCTCTCTCTCTCTGTTTATGTGTATGTGGCACTGTTGTAATCTCTCTCTCTAGAATTAGAATATTCTAATTCTACTAATAATAATAGATTGGTCGGACTTCTACTGCAAGAGTGACTCACAATTCACTTGGTTCCTGAGCCATAATCATAAGATTTCATAAGAGAGATGGCCGAGTGGTTCAAGGCATACTATTGGAACTGCTATGTAGGCTTTTTTTTTTTTTTACCAAGGGATCGAATCCCTCATATGCATGCTACTATTATATTACTTTTTGGTGGGTTTGATGATTTGAGAAGTAACAGTTGAAGAGCATAGATATCTTTTTGAGTTACTCAGAGTATATTAAAAGATCAGCATCTTGGAGTCTTGACATTCCAGCTATACTACTACTACTACTTCAATTCATAACCAGATTCTTTTGTGCAAGTAGCCAAGTTGCACTACTCCTTCACTTTTACCTTACTTAGGATGTGTATTCCTGGCATACTATTAATGCCTGTAATCAAAGAAATCGAATATGTTTCGGTGAGAACAGCTAATTGATTTTGTTTTGTTTATTTAGGCCGACATTTTACAGGGTTTACAAAAAGAAATCAACAGAAGGGTTCAAATCCTTGCCTTATGTTGTGGCACTCTTTAGTGCCATGTTGTGGCTCTACTATTCCCTTCTCAAGATTGATGCTTACCTTCTCATCACCATCAACAGTGTTGGATGTGTCATAGAGCTCATGTACATAGCCATGTTCTTGGCTTATGCACCCAAGAAAGCAAAGGTAAATAAATCCCTTCATTGCATTATATATGTATTAATCCCACAAAACTAGGTCTCTCTCTCTCAACTGAATTTAGTCTGTCAACTAAACTTAGTCTCTAACTCTCTCTCCCCCATATGTGTTAATCTCACAAAACTGAGTATCTCCCTCTCTCTCTCTCTGTCTCTCTCCCAACTGAACTTAGTAACTCTCTCTAATTGCATTAAACCATTTCAGGTAGTTTTGGCCACCTTTTTCATTTGTATTTATAAGGCTGACGTACCCATATAACAAAAAAACCTCCTGTCTGCTTTTTTGAAGTCCTAGGGAATGTCTTTTTATTCCCCTTTTATTGCTTACACCTCTTACCTTTACGAAATAATAAAGGGGAACTATTCCGTAAGACCGTGGCTCTATAAACCCGCACTTCAAATCTTTCTAGAAAAGGCAGTTCAGGTGAGGAAAACTCTGAATCGATTGGGAATAACTTCGACCTCGACCATCATGGATTTCGAAAAGAAATGTATTTGAAACCTAAAAATGGTCCATCTCTTGGGACCATTCATTTCAAGAGATCCCCTAGAATGCACATTTGGGCTCTGAAATTCCAGGGGTGGAAATAGATTTGTAGGGCAGCTTTTCCGGCACCAGAATTTTGTATTGCGGTGGGTTTTGAAGTGAGGCCTTACCAAAATTAATAAAACCCCGGCCTTATGCCAAAACCACACAAAAAAAAAAAAGATGCTTATCCGATTCAATCTGCTGCCTTAGTTTTTTTTTTTGGGGGTAAATAATCTGTTTGTCTTGCTTAAATCGAACACGTTTAAAAGGTTCTTAATATTTCTTTCCACCAATGCCCACAAACTTCTTAATTTTATAGCTCACCAAAGTTAATTGTTTCTACAAAGATTATGATACTCTACTTGCTCGGTTCTTCGCGATTTAAAATATTAAATAAAAAATTGAGGATAAACATATTAACAAAGAGAAACTCTTAGAGAGAGAGAGAGAGAGATTAATCTAATGAAATTCTGTATAATGTCTAGTGCTCTTAAGCTGCCTGTTGCTATAATGCACATTAATAAAATCCAATATATTTTTAAACTTGGCCGAGTCTACTTAAAAACGCCAATTCGGGTATATAAAAAAAGTAGAAAAAATCCTAAAAATATATGTAAAAAATATGGCATTGATGTATAAAAATTTTATATGTAATTTGGATGCTTTGTCAAAGATAGGCGAGTGAGTTTTTCTAGCCATATGCTTTATCTTTATATAGGAATTTTTTTAAAATGTCCCTTACCATAATTTTTTTTGTTTTGTCTTCAAATTTATGTTTTGTTATAGTTTTTTTAAGACAATTTGGACTTTTTAGCTTGCTTTTGGTTTTGTTTAATCTTTATTATCATTATTTTTTTAATATTAAATATTTTTATTTGTACTTTTTACTTTTTCAAGCCGTGTACAGTACTTTCACTGGTACTCATCCTGGGGCTGGGGCGGAGTAGCTGGAGAGTGTGAATGAAATCAAACGCTTCAAATGAAACTTTTTTGCTCCAAAATAAAATGAAGCGATTTGTCATTTCAGTTCAAATCATTGTGAAAGTATGTAATTAAAAAATATGATTTATTCGTTTTCTCCATGCATGTGCAGATGTTGACAGCGACGCTCCTCTTGTTATTGAATGTGGTAGTTTTTGCTGTGATTGTTCTGTTCACATTCTTATTCGCAAAGGACTCCAAACGCGTTGGTATCCTCGGCTGGATTTGTGCCTCTTTCTCAGTTAGTGTCTTTGCTGCTCCATTAAGTGTCATGGTAAGATCGCATTCTTTTTTCTTCATCCATTTTTAGAGAGAGAGAGAGAGAGAGAGGAAGAAGAGA